CCCTCCGGGCAGGGCCCTCCCTTCTCCCCCCCTCCCCCCCTCCCTCCGCGGGCCCAAGCCTCGACCCTCCCGGCCGCGGGGTTGGGCGGCGGCCCGGCTGGAGGGCCCTCAGGCGCGGCGCCCCTTCCCAGCGCGGACGCCCTCCTGAGGGAGCCCAGGCCCCGGCTCACCTGCCACCGCGCTGAAGGCCGGCGGCGCTGTGCCCGTCAGGCGGGCTCGGCCGGTTGCTGGCTGCGCTCCGGAGCGGCGGTCTGGCGGTCGGGTGGTTGGGCGGCGGCGGCGGCGGCGGCGGCGGCCCGGAAACGGAGGAGCGGCGGCGGCGACGGCAGCGGAGGCTCTCAGCCGGACGCCGAGGGGAGGGGTCTGCGCGGGGCGGGGCTTCTGCCGGACTGACAGGCGGAGGGGCGGGGCGGCCGGAAACGGTGGAGCGCCTGGAGCGGCTCTTTTCGCCAAGCGGCGCCCTCGGAGCCCGCCAGCCTCGGGGCGCTGGACCTGCGCAGGTTCCCCGGGCCAGACCCGGCGTGGGCGACTCGGCGCCCGGGCCTCGCTTCGGTTATGGGCCGCCTTGGGCCCAGGCGGGGCTCTGGCTCGTCCCCCGGGAAGGGGAGCTGGGGCCCTGGGCCGGGACGGGATTGGGAGGCCCAGCCGAGAGGACGGTTCGGGCTCTTCTTGATGATCCAGCACCGAGAGGTGATCCCAAACACCGCGTTTATTAGGATGTCTCTTCTGCTCCTTTACTTTCCATGTTGGTAATGGATAAAAAAAACCCCAAACCCTTTCAAGGCTTCTATTTCAGAAAGCGTTCTTCACTTACAGCATTTTTGCAGGACCGCCTAAAAGGTTCGCACAGTACAGCTAGTCCTCGACTTACAACAGTTCGTTTAGTGACCATTTGGAGATACAGTGGCATTGACAAAAGTGACACAGGACCGTTTTTTCACACTTAGGTTGCAGCATCCCCAGGGTCACATGAGGAAAATTGTCAACTGATTGGTATTTATGGCAGTTGCAGTATCCTAGGGTCATTTGTGACCACCATTTGCAATCTTCTGTCAAGCAAAGACAATGGGGAAACCAGGTTCACTTAACAACCATATTACAAACTTAAGAACTATAGTGATTCCCTTAACAACTATAGTAAGAAAAGTCATAAAATGGGGCAAAACTTAACAAATGTCTCACTTAGCAACATAAATGTTGGGCTCAATTGTGGTTGCAAGTAGTGACCTTTAGGTCTGCTATGGCCCTTTGAGATACAAATGGCTCACATTATCCTACCTGGGACACATTAAGTCTCTGGAAAGGCTCTAATGCTGGGAAAGATAGAAGGGGAAAGAAGAGAAGCAGCAAGGTGGATGGACTCGGCTACATTAGTGATGAGTGCATCACAGGAGAACTGAGAATGCAAGTTAGGAACAACTTTCATGGGGGAAAAAAATCTATGCTGTTGCTAGGAGTTGATAACAACTTGATGCACACAATTGATCCTGCTTCAGGTGCGGCTGCTGGATCAAAGCTGCAGGTACCATGGAGTTGGTACATCCTCTGTCCAAGCAAAGCTACTCCTGATCCATCTGTAGCCCCTACTTTGCAGCCCATCTGTGAAGAAAGCAAATGTCTTCCTGCCCTCTCCTTGGATTGTCCTGGTTGCTACTAATTAATTATTTTTAGCATCATCAACAACGGGTCAGGCACAGGGTATGGTCAGAAAAAGTCAGGATCTTGGCTGTGATAGTGCAGTGCATGTGATAATGGGTGGAGCTTCTCTTGCGACATGAGAGCCCCATCTTGACTTTTTGGAACAAGCCCTGTGGAGATTCCTGAACCATGTTACAGTAGGAAGGCTGCCCTTCCAGCAATGAGGGAGGTGCAAGAATTATGCTGCAGGTCAACAATTTGTGGCAAAATATTCTGTATGGGCTTTGTTTTGCCAGCACCATTAAACCTGACAGAAAGCTAATGTGGACTTCTCTTCTGCAACAGCAAGAATCTCTGAGATGAACCTTTTAAGTAGAGATAAAAGCCAGTTCTGAGCTATAACTGCATATAATGTCTTCTTTTCCCCCATCAGTAGCAAAGCTTTTAGCCCTACCTCTCTGAGGCTAGATACTGAGGTGCCATAGAGCCACCACTGAGTTTGCTTGCCCTAGAGATAGAAAAATGGTCTCCTGCTTGAGCAGGGGGTTGGATTAGAAGACCTCCAAGATCCCTTCCAACTCTTATTTTACTCTGTAAAATAACAGGATTTTGAAACACCTCCTTTACCCTTCTCATAATGTGGCTGCCCCAACAGGGCTTTGTCTGGCAGTGTTGTTGCCTTGCTCAGTTAATGCCAGGTTCTTCCGGATGGTTTTCCTGAGCCCCTTCCCCTCCCATACGGTATGTCCCAAAAGACTGGTGGTCCTGTGAATCATTTTTATACTTGCTGTCCTATTAAAAATAGTCCAAATTACTGCAGCCAGCCATAATCAAAACTACTGCAGATGACAAGATATTTCAAAGCATTTAGCGCGCACACACACACACACAATCCAAAGTCCTATTGCAAAGTTATTAGAAAATTTGTTAAATATGTACATATTAGGTTTCTTTTGGGGAATCTTACTCTCCTGAAATGTAGCATGATACTGTAGTTTCCATTCTGCCCCTCCAACAGAGTTGGAAGGGACCTTTGAGGTCTTCTAGTCCAACCCCCTGCTCAGGCAGGAAACTCTATACCATTTCAGACAAATGGTTGTCCAATCTCTTCTTTAAAACTTCCAGGGTTGAAGCACCCACAACTTCCAGAGGCAAGTCATTCTACTGATTAATTGTTCTAATTGTCAGGAAAATTATCCTTAGTTCTAGGTTGCTTCTCTCCTTGATTAGATTAGTTGATTAGTTTTCATCCATTGCTTCTAGTCCTGCTTTCAGGTGCTTTGGAGAACAGCTTGACTCCCTCTTTGTGGCAACCCGAGATATTGGAATACTGCTATCATGTCACCCCTAGTCCTTCTTTTCATTAAACTAGACATACCCAATTCCAGCAACCGTTCTTTATGTTTTAGCTGCCAGTGCCCTAATTAGCTTTGTTGCTGTTCTCTGTCCTTTTTTAGTCTCAACATCTTTTACATCATGGCAACCAAAACTGGATGCAGTATTCCAAGTGTGGTTTTACCAGGGCATTATAGAGTGGTATTAACACTTCATGTGATCTTGATTCTATTCCTCTGTTTATGCAGCCCAGAACAGCTGCTTTTTTGGCAGCTGCTGCACACTACATGCTCTCTACATGGGGCTCCCCTTGAGGAGCACCCGGAGGCTCCAACTGGCACAGAGTGTGGCCGCGTGGGTGGTAATGGGAGCGACATGGCGCTCCCATGTAACACCTCTCCTGCGCGAGCTGCACTGGCTCCCGGTGGTCTTCCGGGTGCGCTTCAAGGTTTTGGTTACCACCTTTAAAGCGCTCCATGGCTTAGGACCTGGTTATCTACGGGACCTCCTACTACCACCAATAGCCTCCCACCGGCCAGTACGCTCTCATAGAGAGGGACTCCTCTGGGTGCCGTCAGCCAAACAGTGTCGACTGGCGGCCCCTAGGGGGAGAGCCTTCTCTGTGGGGGCACCTACCGTCTGGAATGAGCTCCCCCCGGAGATACGGAGGATCCCGGATCTGCGCACCTTCCGCCGCGCTGTGAAGACCTTTTTATTCCATCAGGCGAGCTTGGCCTAATCTCTTCCCTTTTTAAAATATGTAAATTTTAATCTGTTTTTAAATTATTGGGGTGTTTTAATCTGTCTGGGCCAAAATGATTTAATTTGATTTTATCTGGTTTTTAAATTTTTTGTATCTATGTATTTTATTGTTTGGCTGTTCACTGCCCTGAGTCCTTCGGGAGTAGGGCAGTATACAAATCAAATAAACTAACTAACTAAACTAAACTAACTAACACTGCTGGCTCATATTTAAATGACTGTCCACTAGGACTCCAAGATCCCTGTCAAAATTACTATTGAGCTGGGCACCACCTATCCTTAACCTGTACATTTGGTTTTTCTTGCCTAAATGTAGAATCTTATCTTTTCCCCATTGAATTTCATTTTGTTAGATAACACCCAATGTTCAAATATGTCAAGATCAGGGGTGAAATGCTCCTGGTTCAGATGGTAGCGATGGAGGCGGGTGGTTCGGAGAAGCAGTAACAAAAATCCCTGCCCCCGCCCCCATGTCCAGCTGAGCACACAATCAGAACACATCAGAACAAAACAGAGATAAAGAGATAAAGGTAATATGAAACAGACAGTATGAATGCAACTACAGAGTATCAAATGAGACTCAAATAAATGTCAAATGAGCATTAAGGATACAAAGTCAAAACTGGAAAAAAAAGTGTGGGAGCGGAAAGTTTCCCTTTTACTTTTTCTCTTGTAACTGTGACCTGGTAAAACAATATATCTACGTTTGTGAGGCAAGGGAAAAAAATCATGAGCTAAGTATAAGATGCAAAAGAAAGAAGAGGGTTGGGTTTACCTGATCTGAAAGTGTATTTTGCAGCTTGTTGTTTGGTTTCAACGAAAGAGTGGGTATTACTGAGAAATAAAAGATGTTTAGTCTTAGTAAGTCATGATCTGAGATTTGGGTGACATGGCTATTTATAATACAACGAAGTCAAAGTAAATGTAGATTTCAAAAATCATTATGTTAAATGTGCCATATTGAAAAGGAATAGATACAAATCAGGCTGTGCCCAAAGCACCCTTATGAATTTCAGTACAAGAAGCATTTTATACATAATAGGCAAAGATATTAACATATCATGAAATGCCAAAATAAAGAGAACACCGATGACCGAGGGGCATTGCTGCCAATGGTTTTATTACTTACAAGAAAAATTTAAAGTAGGCAAAAAATTATGTGAAAACAAAAATTCTATAAAACAATGAAAAAATTCATTGTTTAGGTATTGAACAATGTAAGAATTTGAAACGGAATTGTGTACAAATGATGAATGTGTAATTGCTAAAATGTATAAGCTTTTATTGAAATTGAAAAAGAAAAAAGGTCAAAGAATGTACAATTAAATTGGCTACAATCTTGATTAAAAAGGTAATTTGATTATAATGTACAAATAGAACAATGAGAGAATATGAGATTGAAAGTATGGAAATTTATGTTATAGTCTGAAAGGGATTTATTGATTTAGTGTATGGCATACACTGTCAGGGAAATCTACACATGCTAGACACACAATGCGGCCCTCCTGATAGCCTAAATGGCTGGTTCGTTCTGTTCACTGCTTATGCACCTATCCCTGGTGCATGGTGGGAAGTGAACTAGCTTTACACCAGCTGACTATGATAGTGGCACTCAGCTTGCTGGCTCTTCCAGGCTCTTCCGCCAGTCTCGCCCCGCTTCGCCTTGTGTCACGCCGCCTTGTGTCCGGCCAAGTCCAGCGCCGGCTTCCGTTCTCCGCACACACGAACGCAACTAGGTTTCAGTTTTTCCCACCAGTGGTACCCATTCATCTACTTGCAATGTTGCATGCTTTCAAACTGCTGGCTGGACAGGAGGTAAATTGCTAAATTGACTTGGAGAAAAAAACATTTACATGCATTGGTGACTGGAAACCCATTGTAGACATTTTGCATAAAAAAGGGGAAAATAACATGACTTATGGTTTTGATGATTGGACGGATATAGAAAGAAGAGTATAATGATTTAACTTTAAATAGAGAGTGTCTATGGAGATTCTCAGTCATCCAGGTCCTGGTTGTCCCAAAGATGCTTTTTTCAAGAGGCAACTCGACTTTCTCGTTTTTCCCTGAAGACATTTCGCTTCTCATCCAAGAAGCTTCTTCAGCTCTGACTGGATTTCTGACTTTTTAGATAGAGAGGTTAAAATATAATTGTACTTATAACTGCTGTGAAGAATTTTGGAAGCTACTTTGTATCTTTCTTTTCTACTTTTCTTCTACTTTTTCTTTTCTTGCAGTTTCTGTTTCCCCTTTATTTTCTTCCTTCCTTCCTGCCTTTCCCTCCTAATTCCTTATTTTTTCCTTACTTTGTATTAGTTTTATAGTTTTTAAAAAGTCCTATTTTAAAAAGTCTGCCCAATATAAGCAGACTGAGGTGTGATGTATGTATATACAGCAGTATTAAGTGACTCTTAAGTGCAGATTAACAACACATTTTTCTAACAAACTGCATTCATTAAACTTGAAACTAAAAGAGTAACCAGCTTGTTGTAACTGCGAAATAACCTATGCTGCTTGTTACTTTGAACCACCAAAGAGCTAATTGTTGTACAGGACATAGAATCAAACCTTTTATCAGTGGATTTACTTTATCCATAAACTGTTTTAGTCTGAGGTGAAGAGAGAGAAAAAGCAGCTGCTGTACAAACTCCTGAAAGTGGGAGAGCCTGTGTGCTGCTCTGCACTGCCGTCTGCTGTAGATGTCAAGTACAGTATTAGAAACCAATTCAATTCTTGGACTGCTTCATACACATAATCCCAAATTAGGAGCCCGCCGCTGGCATCTGACAAATTGTACTATGTAAAAGACAGAAGATTTTGTGAACTGTAACTCACTTCTTTAAGAGCCAGCCTGGTTTAGTGGATATGGTATTAGGCTAGAAACGGGGAGACTTCGGATGACTCTGGGCCAGTCCCTCTCTCTCAGCCCCAGAAAGCAATGGCAAATCCCTTCCAAAAAACCATGCCAAGAAAACAGCAGGGGCTTGTCCAATGAAAGTCAGGAATCAACACTGACTTGAAGGCACCCCCCTCCCAAAAAAAGCTCACCTGATGTAAACTAAGGAGAAATTTCCTGACAGAACAATTAATCAGTGGCAGGGCTTGCCTTCAGAAGTTGTGGGTGCTCCATCACTGGAGGCTTTCAAGAAAACATCGGGCAACCATTTGTCTAGAATTTTATAGAATTTCAGTTATAAATTGTTGTTTCATGTATTGAGGCACCACATGATCTGACTCAGAGTTGTGATCTGTTTTTGTAATGGTTAAGTAAATGTGACAATCATTAAGCAAACCCATTTTCCCCAGTGGGTATTTCTTGCAGGAAACCAGAAGTAAACAAGAGAAACCAGCAAAAAAACACCATAAATTGTGCTCATGTGGCACTACAAATGGCTGTCAATGTGAGCCAGTTGCCAAGCAATCAGGTCATATGGTGTATATTTATTTATTTTTATTTATTTATTTTATATTGGATTTCTATACCGCCCTTCTCCCTGAGGACTCAGGGCGGTGTACAGCCAGATTAAAAAAAAAAACATGCAGAACAAATATTAAAAACAATTAAAAGATATATAAATTTGGCCCAATTAAAACTCATTTACCAATTAAAAACGTTTAAAACATTTAAAAACAGTTAAAAATTTCATCTTAAGCCAGCCCGGCTTGTTTAAATAAATGGGTTTTAAGGGCGCGACGGAAGGCACTGAGGTCTTGGATTCTCCTTATCTCTGGGGGGAGCTGATTCCAGAGGGTAGGTGCCCCCACAGAGAAGGCCCTCCCCCTGGGGGTCACCAGCCTGCATTGTTTGGCTGATGGCACCCTGAGGAGGCCCTCTCTGTGGGAGCGCACGGGTCGCTGGGAGGTCGTCGGTAGCAGCAGGCGGTCTCGCAGATAGCTAGGCCCTATGCCATGGAGCGCTTTAAAGGTGATAACCAACACCTTGAAGCGCACCCGGAAGACAACTGGGAGCCAGTGCAGCTCGCGCAGGAGCGGTGTTACATGGGAGCGCCATGCTGCTCCCGTCACTACCCGCGCTGCTGCGTTCTGGACCAGCTGGAGCCTCCGGGTGCTCCTCAAGGGGAGCCCCATGTAGAGAGCGTTGCAGTAGTCAAGGCGAGAGGTGACGAGGGCATGAGTGACTGTGCACAGGGAATCCCGATCAAGAAAGGGCCGCAACTGGCGAATCAGGCGAACCTGACAAAAGGTCCCCCTGGTTACAGCCGTCAGATGTTCCTCCAAGGACAGCTGCATATCCAGGAGGACTCCCAGATTGCGAGCCTTCTCTGTGGGGGCCAATGACTCGCCCCCAATAGTCAGTGATGGAGTCAACTGACTATATCGGGATGCCGGGAGCCACAGCCACTCAGTCTTGGAAGGGTTGAGCTTGAGCCTGTTCCTCCCCATCCATATGTCTGCATGCAGAGCCATAACTTTGAAAATGGGTCGTAAGTAGCTGGGGGGGGGGTGTCAGTCATGACTTCAAATGGTCATTAACACACTCAGGTACAGTGGACACAATAGAACTGGAAGCGTTGTGGCGAAACTGGCTGGAAAATATTGAGCTCCAATGAGCCTCGCGAAAATCCAGCCAGACAAACCGCTGTCGGGGAGTCTTCGGATTGAAACCATCCTGGAGGGATGGCGAAGAAGGAGAGGCACCCTGGATGACCAAGAGGAACAGGCAAGTTCCTCAAAGGGTCGGAGGCAGCTCTCTGAACCGGCAACGGTGGTGGTCATTGAAACGACTGCTCTGAAGCTGGGGTAACCGGACTAAGATTTATGCAGGAGCGATGATTGAATGGAGTATAGTTACCAGGTGAGCAATTGGCCAACTCACAGGTAAAAAGAAATGTTTTAAAAAGCTTAAAAGGTCTAATTAGAAGCGGCTAATTGGCACTTGGGAATTTTAATTGGAGGAAGAAGAACAAAAAGGAAGTAAAAGGACTAAAGCCCACCAAAAAGGAAAAAAACCTTCTACCTGGATTTAAAATTGAATTTGGAGAAAATAAAAACAATAAAAGGAAAAGAAATTGAAGAGAAAGTATTTTCTATGTGGATTTAAACCTGCTACTTTGTTGTTTTGGGATTTGTGGATTGGAGAGAGACATCTGCTGGTGGAAAGAAAGCACTACAACAATTGCTTTGAAAATTAAAGGACTAAAGGTTTTTGATTACTGTGAGATATTTTAAGGCATATTTGTTTACTTTTAAACAGCTTGACTTTGAAAGGAGGTGAAAAAGAATAAAGCCTTAAAGTGGAATGGACTAGATAAATATTTGAACTGGATAATACTTGGAAATAAAAAAAAAGAGAGACTACATGGACTTGAATCTTAATTAAACGTAAAGTAAAAAAATTCTGAATTGACAATATGGAGCACTGGGAATACGAGGAACTAATGGAGATGTTTAAAAATGTGCATGAAGCATTTAAGGGTAATAAAGAAGCAGAAGCCTGGTTAGAATACACAAAAAAGAAAAAAAAGAATAAAAATGAGAAGCAAGAATACAATGTTGAAGGGAAAATAAATAAAGATAAAAAGATAGATAATTACACTGGGATTGATAATGGCAAAAAATAATGGTTAGGGGGGAATATCCCCCCCCCAAAAGAAGGGAAGAGATGGAAATGGGAAAAGCCTGGGTAAAAACAGAAGGAGAATTATGGGGGTAACAGTTTTAATAATTAGAGAAAGAATTCAGGAGAAAAGATACAATAAATATAAAAAGAAAAAGAAGAAGACAAGAGAATGGGATAAGGGGAAAAATATTAAGAAGTAGAATCTTGGAGAGACCAAAAGAAAATGGTTAAAAGGGGAAGAATAATGGAGAGAAGAAAGGGAAATAAAGCATTTATTAGTTGAATCAAGGGAATTGTGTTAAACAAGATGAAGTATATTGTTAATTGTAAAATGGATCAGCAGATGTAATATGAAATGTAATTTGGTTTAACTATGGAAATAACTGAAATTAAGATATAAAATTGATGAATAAGAAAGTAGGAAGTAAGGAAAATAAGAGGTGGAAGGCTAACTAAGTTAAAAGGTTTCAATGTAAAAATGGAATAAGATGAAATATATTGTTAACTATCAAAAAGGTGATGGGGATTGCGAGAAACATATTTAATAAATGAAGAAAAAATCGGGATTGCCCGGATACCATTTTGGAAAATATTGAATTGAAAATGAATACAACAATGGAGGGAGGATGGAAAGAGGAGTAAAGGGATAGAAGGAGGGGAAAAGGGAGGAAGGAGAGAGAGGAATAGAAGAAAGGGAAAAGGAGAGGAAGAAAGGGAGGGGAAATAAAAATAGGAGAGAAGGTTAGAAAGGGAGGAAGGGAGGAGGAGTGGGGGAAAGGAAGGGGAAGTAGAGAAGGGAAAGGAGAGGAGGAAAGAAGAAAGTAGAAAAGGAGGAAGGGAAGGGAAAGCGAGAAGGAGAAGTGTTGTAAAATAAGAGATGGAATGGTAGAAGGGCAACCCTGAGTATACTCAAACTTACTAGGATGAAGAATGAACTAATATGAAAGTTAAAAGAGAGTATATATGATTAACAATGGATAAAATGAAATTAGGATTTGAAGGCGGATGGTGATACTGTTTATATAATAAGTATAGAAGTATTAAGACAAGATAAAAAAGTAGGGAATTTCTGCCAGTTACTTTGGCAGAAACTGAAATTATGTAAAGTGTATTTGGATATGATAAATTATATAAGATATGATTTGGCCAATACTCTGTTCATAAAATGTGTGAAAGAAAAAAAAACCCAATAAAATTTGTTTTAAAAAAAAGGTACAGTGAAATCATCAATAGGTTTCCCTTATATTCCATTTCATTGTACACATGTTGTGCATTGACAATAAAGCTTTGATTTGATTTGACTCATTGCCTCCTAATATATATTCCCTAATTTCCCTCCCACTTTTCCCTCCTTGGCTTAGTACCCAGGCGACCCGAAGCGCCTAAAGTCTCTCTTCAAACTTGGCAGCTTTGAGACTTGTGGACTTCAACTCCCAGAAGTCTCAAAGCTGCCAGATTTGAAGGCCTCTGGTTTAAAGTGACCATAATCTCCCCTCTGCCCTTATTTGCAGAGGTCCTGGGTCTCTGGGCCTCGTTCCTAGAGGGGGTCTCCAGAGTAGCCCCCTTATCGGCCAATCCTGATCAGGGCCGCTTTCTAGCCTAGCAGAGACCTTCCTTCCTACCTACAGCTCTCAAGCTTCGGCCTCCTCCCTCCGCGAGATGAGAGGCCCCTGGGGGGGTATTTTCCTCACAGGCCACCAGCTCTCCTGACCGTTACTGAGGTAGCAGGTGGCAGCAGCAGCAGCCGCCGCCGCCTCTGTTTCCCACAGAGTCACCCAAAACTCGCCAGCTCTTCTTCTCCTCAAGCTTTAATCGAGTCAGCCACCATCGGGATTCACACGACACGCGAAGGCGAGCCGGGCGCGTCTCTTCAGACGAAAGGGCGACCCGGACTGGCCCGGAGGCCTGAGGTGACCCACGGGAGCCGCCCCCTCCTCCTCCTCCTCCTCCTCCTCCTCGCGCAGCAGCGGCAACGGCAGCGCCGGCCCCGGACGGGCGGGGCGGGAGAGGGGGCGGAGCTCCCGATCTCGGCCAGAAGCGCCCGCGTGCCCCCCCTCCTCCCCCTCCCCCTGTATTAGCAGCACCGGCAGCACCGCCCCCGGAGGGGCGGGGCGAGAGAGGGGGCGGAGCTCCCTGTCTCGGCCAAAAGCGCCCGCGCGCCCCTTCCGCCCCCCCTCCTCCCGTTCCTCCTGCCGGGCTCCCCGACGCAGCATGGCGCTCTCGGCCGATCCCTGCTTCCAGAGGCTGGCCGAATGGCAGCGGGCCCACGCCGGGCAGCTGGTGCTGCGGAAGCTCTTCCAGGAAGACCCCGAGCGCTTCCACAAGCTCAGGTGGGCTCCCTCCCGCCGGCCTCCTTCCCCGCCACCGGCGCCCCGCGGGCCGAGCCGGACCCTCCGCAAAGCGGGGCAGCTTCGGGGGAAGGTCGGCCGGGGCTAAAGGGTTCGGGCGGCGGCCTAGAGGTCCGGGGCGCGGAGGGCCGAGCCGGCCGCAAAGGCTCCGCAGCTCCCGGGCGGCTTCGGCAGGGCGGGCGGGGGGCCGGGGGCGCTTTTGCCTGGAAGGGGCCTGAGAGGTCGGGGCGCGAGGGCGGGAGGGGAGGCTGCTGGGGCCTGGAGGGAAGAAGGAAGCCCGGGGGGGTCTCTCTCTCTCTCTCTGTCTCTGCCGGGGCGGTGAGTCGGCAGTTGTGGCGGCGGCCCTCCCTTGGCCCCCTCTGCGCCCGGAGGGAGCTGAGGGAAGCTGCCCTTTGTGGGCCCTGAGAGCGCGGCTGAAGCTGCGGCTGGGTCGGCAGCGGCTCCTAAAGCGGGACCGTCGCCAAGAAGCCCGTCGCTGCCTTTGCGGCCTCTGGGCGCCTCGGTGGGCGTCGGTGCCCCCGGGGGTCTCCGTGGATTCGCACAAACCCAGCGAAGCTGGAAACCGTTTCTGAATTCCCGCCTTGGCCTCCGAGCAGCTCCCGGCTCTAGCCGAAGCCGGACTGTTGCTTTCCTCTTTGGGGGGCTCAGTTGCCCTGAAGTTAGCGGCAGAGGCGGCTTATTGCTTCTCCACAACCGACGCTCCTCTGCCTTCCCCCTTCAGAGGCTAATAAGCTCGTTACTGAACTAGTTTTGGTGGTTTTCGGTAGAATTTCCCCACAATTCCGGTACCGAAGTTGCAAAATGACTTTCAAAATTTTAAGAGAAACAGGAAGTAGCTCTAAAAATGGTTTTCTGCCCTGGAGAGATTTCTCCTGCCTTCTCTGTCCAGAGGGTCAGTTTGGGGTAGTCTTAAGGCACCTGCCTACTAACCTAGAATCCTGGTTCTTTTGGCACAAAGCCACCTGGGTGACCTTGAAAACTGCCAGAAAAGCAGGCAAGGGCAAGCCGCTTTCAAAACCCTTGTGCCAGAAACATGCCCGGAAGGAACACTTGCCCACAGAAAATATCCACCCATCCAGAAAATCTGGATTCTCATGTCTTGTTTGAAATATATTTTTTATGGTTTGACTGAATATTTTTGTGGAAGGTTTTGCCTCCTTGAGTAAGAGGTACAGTAGTCTTGGCAAGGTATAAATAAAGCATTTTCTAAAATGCCCCTTCTTTGGTCCAGTCCAGTCTTCTTTGACAGATCTGTTACATTTATGGAAATAGCCGCAAAATAAAATTAGGAAATGAGTATCCACTTTTTATAAGCTCTCCAATTCATTTGATTTCCTAATGAAAGATGGCTCCTTGGAAATGCATTAGAACTTTTGATACAATAAATAACATTTTTTCCTCACTATTTTTCTTTACTTTCCTCACTTTTTTATATCTGTTGCAAAGACCAGTAACTTTTCAACATAATTAGCTACACTTTTATTATGTACGTGTAAAAAAACAACAAACAATAGAAACTATAAGAGTAAAGAGAGAATAGAGATAGAAGTGTGAAAAAGGTATTTAAAAAGAAAAGAAAACACAAATACACAAAGAATGGCTTCTGACTTCTTCCAGGGATAGAAAGGAAAATAGTAATTCTTTCCCCCTTTTTAAATTTTAACAATCAACAGATCCATATGTCAAAATTTGATTTATCTCTTGCAAAAAGGCCACAAAGGGATTTTTTATTTTTTTATCATCAAATTTATATACCGCCCTTCTCCCGAAGGACTCAGGGTGGTGTACAGCCAAAGTAAAAACATAAATACAAACATTAAAACCAATTTAAGAAGATATATATATGTTTGGCCCCAAAATTAAAAGAACAATAACAAAGCTATTAAAAACATTTTAAAAAGTGTTAAGCCAGCCCGGCTTGCTGAAAAAGAAAGGTCTTCAGGGCACGGCAGAAGGCACTGAAGTCTTGAATTCTTCGTATCTCTGGGGGCAGTTGATTCCAGAGGGCAGGTGCCCCCACAGAGAAGGCTCTCCCCCTGGGGGCCACCAGTCTACATTGTTTGGCCGATGGCACCCTGAGGAGGCCCTCTCTGCGGGAGCGCACAGGTCGGTGGGAGACCATTGGTGGCAGCGCGCGGTCTCGATATCCAGGTCCTATGACATGGAGCGCTGAATTTCCCTTGAATTATAGATGAATTTCTTCAGTGATTTTTCTCTCATGAAAACTGTTGCTAGTTCTGTTTTTATTAACCATTTATGGATGTCATAGGATCTTTCCAAAGCTGAGCAAATAAAGGTTGTGTTTCTATTCTTACATAACAACAAAACACCATGAGATCTTTCCACTATTTTATCCATATAAAGGTAAAGCTTCCCCTCACACATACGTGTTAGTTGTTCCCAACTCTAGGGGGCGGTGCTCATCCGTTACAAAGCCAAAGACCCAGCGCTGTCCCAAGACATCTCCGTGATCATGTGGCTGGCATGATTAAACACCAAAGGCGCACGGAATGCTGTTACCTTCCCACCTATTTTTCTACTTGCATTTTTTACGTGCTTTCGTACTGCTAGGTTGGCAGAAGCTGGGACAAGTAACAGGAGCTTACCCTGTTACGAGGCACTAGGGATTCGAACCACTGAACTGCCGACCTTTTGATTGACAAGCACAGCATCTTAGCCACTGAGTCACCGCGTTCCTTATGCATAAACCCTAACAAAAAAGTTTCCAGTCTACACTGTACACTAATTTTCAAAATTTTTGAATTGCATAGGAGTGGAGCGGCTTGAAGTCCAGCTAGACCTTGGAAGGAGAATGACGAGGAGCTGTGCAAGGACAATAACTGTGGGGTGCTCACCTTGGTATCAAAGGCACAGGATTCCCAGTGAATTCTGTTCCTGTTTGATATTCTATGGAGACATTTTCTTATCTTTCTTCAAGTGAAGGCAAAAATTCTTCAGTTTTAGAAGAATTTTTGAACTTGAAGAAAGACAAGTTGCCCCTGATTTTTCAGATTTTTCATGTCATACATTACATGCTTATTTTTCTCTGAGCACTTGGTTACTTGGAGAGTGCATGGGAAAATGAGCACGAGGAGAGAAAGCATGTGGTGGAGGGGGGGGGGGTAAACCCTCACAGACTGAGAGGAATAACCTCTGGGGTTTGGTTAACTCTGGGACTCCTTCGTATTCCTCGCCATTTCTGTGATTTCAGGTCCCCTTCTGTTTTGCCTGGAATAGAAAATCATACCTGTCCTATAACCGAGAATATTTGTAGCTCTGGGTTGAAATGAGGGGTCATTGGAGCTCTCTGAGCTTGTTTTCTTGCAAACATTTCATTACCTGAACTAGGTAACATCAGTGCTAGTAAGGAGTGCAGTTTGCACTGATGATGTTACCTGCTTTAGGTATCTATCATTTGTCTGCTGCCTCTTCTTATGCTCCTATTTGGATTAGAGGATTATTAGGATTCTCCTTCGTTACATATCTTCCTTTCTTCGATAAGTGGTAGGATATTCGTTTATGTAATGGAGTTGCTTGCTCTCTTGCAGTGTGACCCTGAAGACAGAGCATGGGGACATCTTGGTGGACTATTCGAAGAATCTTGTTACAGAAGAAGTTATGAAGTTGCTGGTGGAACTGGTAATTTAATCCGCTATGTCTACAATAATGTTTTATAACTTTTGGTCACATTTATGTATCATCTGCATTGCATGTGCTTTTTACAATGAACCATAAGTAAATAACAATCTCCACAAAAGCCAGCTCATTTTATAGATAATCTGAAATGAAACTCCTCCAAATACAAACATTAATGAATTGGTAGAGTGTGATGTTTACATATTTCTAGGCTCTGGCATGTTGGACTTTAGCTACTCCTCTTTATAAAGCCCTGCATATACCACTTGCCTCCACTAACCCACTTGCCCAGAACACAGGAGGTATTTTTGGGCTTTGACCTGATTTTCCTAACAATATTTTACTTTTCCCTTTCCTAGACATGTACAAAAAGTGGTTCTCTGTCAGGGAAGTTGGATTTCTGCCATGTGCAAGGGGTGAATTCAGTACCCTCCTTTTGACTAGGAGTCTGTGATATGCTGAGTCCTAATTTAAGGAAAACAAGCAGAAAAGGACTCTGGCATTAATGCACCACCCTCCTGATAACCAGCAATGGTAATGGGTTGGACTTGCACCTCAGATACCCAGGTTCCAGCCCACCTTCCACTGTGGAAAATGCATGGGGTGACTTTGGGCCTGTTTTTCAGCCTAGCCCATCTGGCAGGGATGCTGTTAAGAGAGTAGATGAGAAAGAGGATAGCTATATAGGGCTCCCTTGAGTTCCCAGACAAAAGGTCAGCTCAGCTACCTAGAGATCGTTGACTAAGTGTGGGAAATGGATCAGCTATTTATCTGATTTGTGCTGGAGGATTTGGAAAGCCTATTATTTCCTACATTAAATAGTTCCTTTGACTTTCAGGCCAAATCAAGAGGTGTTGAAAAAGCTAGAGAGCAAATGTTCACGGGAGAAAAAATCAACTTCACTGAGGTATGAGCTGTTCTTATCCATGATCTGAAGGTTTTTCATGCTT